AGAATCTGGAAAAAACCTGAGTGCCCGAGAACAGATGACTGGTTAAAGAAACTTTGGTACATTTACACAATGGAGTACTATGTAGCTGTTAGAAAGATGAAGTTATGAAATTTACATACAAGTGGTACTACATGGAAAGTATCATGTTAAGTGAAATGAGTCAGAAAGAGCGGGATAGACACAGAAAGATTGCATTCATCTGGGGAACATAAAGCAACAAAAGGGGAGACTAACACCCAGGAATGGTGAGATTAGTACCAGGAATTTTGCTCCATGACTTGAAGGCCAGCCACACGTGCTAGGTGAAAAGGAAGCTCAGATAGAGAAGAGAACACCAAATAAAGGGCGTTGTGAGGACCCTCCCAGGGTGGGAGAAGCATGCTAAAAGTAGTCTATAGACCAAACATAATTGCCACTCAATGCCTGTCTTGCAAAACACAGTACCCAAAAGAAGAGAGAGAGAGAACAAGGGGGAATGCCCTGCCACAGAGGCAGGGTGGGATGGGGGGATGGAGGGTGGGCGGGATGCTGGGACCTGTGGTGGTGGAGGATGGGCACTGGTGGAGGGATAGGTACTTGATCATTGTGTAACTGAAACCCAAGCACAAAAATGTATAAGTCTAGGCCACAGCCCCAGAAGCACAAGGACTTAATGCAGAACCCAGCATCTTGGAGCAGAAGAGTGAAAGGACTATGGGTTAATCCAGGCCATCATGTCTGCCGGAGGGGAAAAGGTGTTGCCCCATTCGCCCTCTCTTCTCTGGAAAGAAAGATGGCGGCCGCATGGGAGCCTTGTGGAGAACAGGTATGAGCCGGGGGTGCGGGGGCGACTAAAACCTCATGGGAAGTGGGGCGTTCCGGTCTGTCCTTCACGCCCTACCGAGGCCACCAGTTGCCCCCCACGAACGGCTCTCCAGCAGGGCCACAGCCCCAGAAGCACAAGGACTTAACGCAGAACCCAGCAGCTTGGAGCAGAAAAGTGAACGGACTATGCGTTAATCCAGGCCACCATGTCTGTCCGGAGGGGAAAGGGTGTTGCCCCATTCGCCCTTTCCTCTCTGGAAAGAAAGATGGTGGCCGCATGGGAGCCTTGTGGACAGCAGGTATGAGCCGGGGGTGTGGGGGCGACTAAAACTTCATGGGAAGGGGGGCGTTTCGGTCCGCCCTTCACACCCTACCAAGGCCACCAGTTGCTCCCCATGATAGGCTCTCCAGCACGGCCACGACTCCAGAGCACAGAAACCAATTTCTTAACTATCTGACTTTCAGTAGAAATACTTTCAGGGTCAATAAGTAAAACAGCAGAAATCCAAAACCAACATTTAATTCTTGAACCCAGCTGTAGAAAGCAAATCACTTCACAATGCTTCTTCAGCATGTCTGATTGGGGGGGGGGGGTAAACTCTAAATAATAGTGGTGAATCTTTTATTGAAACAATGAATCTAATCAAAGCAGATAGAGTGTTAACTAGAATTCATCTGCCTCACAGGGACTGGGAGGGGTGGGGGGTGGGGTTTTATTGGGGTTCTTCATGGTAAAAAAATAAGTATTGGTAAAGGGAAATGTGTTTGATATTTGCATGACTGAGACCTAAACCTGAAAGCTTTGTAACCTTTCCCACAGTGATTCAATAAAAAAAAAAAATGTATAAGTCTATAACTGTACCTCATGGTGTTTCACTAATAAAAAAATTAAAAAATTAAAAAAAAAAAACAAGTGGTGCTGGGGCTGGAGTGATAGCACAGAAGGTACGGAATTTGCCTTGCATGCGGCCGACCTGGGTTCAATTCCCAACATCCCATACAGTACCCCAAGCAACACCAGGAGTAATTCTTGAGTGCAGAGCCAGAAGTAACCCCTGAGCATTGCTGGGTGTGACCAAAAAAGCAAAAAAACAAACAAATAAAAAACAAAAAAAAACCCCAAAAACAAACAACAACAAGTGGTGCTGGCAAAACTGAACTGCTATGTATATAAAAACAGGCTCAGGGGCTGGAGCAATAGCACAGCGGGTAGGGCATTTGCCTTGCATGCAGTAGACCCGGGTTTGATTCCCAGCATCCCATATGGTCCCCCAAGCACTGCCAAGAGTAATTCCTGAGTGCATAAGTCAGGAGTAACCCCTGCGCATCACCGGATGTGATCCAAAAAGAAAAAAAAAAGTAGGGTGATGAAATGAACAGAATTTCTCAAAGAAGGAATTCAAATGGCCAAAACGCACATAAAAAATACTCTTCATCACTAATTATCAGAGATATGCAGATCAAAACAACAATGAGACATCATCTCATACCACAGAGACCGGCACACATTCAAAAGAACAAAAACAACTGGTGTTGGCATGGATGTGGGGAGAAAGGGACTCTTGTTCACTGTTGGTGGGAATGCCTTTTTGGAAAGCAATAAGGATGTTTCCAAAAAACTATAAATTGAGCTCCCATTTGACCCTGCAATACCACTTTTGGGAATATACCCCTGGGGGCGCAAAAACACACAGCAGAAACACCATCTGCACTCCCATGTTCATTGCAGCACTATTCACCATAGCCAGAATCTGGAAGCAACCTGAGTGACCAAGAACAGACGAATGAATAAAGAAACTATGCCACATCTATACAATGGAATACTATGCAGCTGTCACGAAAAATGAAATAATGAAATTTGCTTATGAATGGATGGACATAAAAGAGTATCAGGCTGAGTGAAATGAGTCAGAAAGAGAGGGACAGATACAGAATACTGCATTCATTTGTGGTATATAAAAAAATATATTCGATATTCCAAACACAGTAACTGGGCCCGCTCAAGCAAATCGATGAACAATGGGAGGACCGTGACCGTGATAGTAGAAGACTAATTTCCATGGCCAGGGAAAACAGAGGTTAGGAGGACTTGTCAATAGTTGGAACTAACCCCACAAATGTTTGTGGGGTTGAGGGAAGGTAAGAAAGAGAAGAGACCAGTATAACAATAATGGCTGGGAATGATCACACTGGACAAGATCTGAGGGTTAAAAGTAGATAAAAGGGACATTCTTGATAACCTTTCAGTATCAATATTGCAAACCACAATGCCCAAAAAGAGAGGGACATTGGTGCTGGAAAATGTACACTGGTGGAGGGATGGGTGTTGGAATAAAATACATTATCTTTTTAAACAAGAAGTTGTAAACTACTGAAAATCAGTTTGTAATATCTGTACAACAACAATGACATTTATTGTATATTCTTGTACTGAATTATATTTATTACAAAAAAAAGTTCATTCAGGCTAGACTCTCCCTCAATTTCTCTGAAGGCATGTGACACAATATACACTTAATCACTTAATCACTTAACTTCCCGTTAGTCGTCGATTTGCTCGAGCGGGCGCCAGTAACGTCTCCATTTGTCCCTGTCGCGTGCTAGTGTAGCCCAATGGCATCTGTTCGCTCCGGGAACATGAAGGGCCTCAAACCAATCGTTCATGATCTTGACGAAGAAGTCTGACCATCTGGTAGGTGGGCGGCCACGCGGTCTTTTGACATCCGTGGAATCCAGTCAGTAACAGCTCTAGTCCAGCGGTCGTCTTTAAATCTCATTACGTGACCAGCCCATCTGATTTTCGATATATTCTTTTTCTCCCCAATTTTTGGGTCATACCTGGCAGTGGCTCACGGCTTACTCCTGGCTCTGCACATAGAGAACAGTTCTGGTGGGCTCGGGGGACAATAGGGGATGGCAGGGATTGAACTCTGGTTAGCCGCGTACAAGGAAAATGCCCTACCCACCATACTATCTCTTTGGCACCGGCTGAAGCATTCTAAATTAATTATTAAGCAGTTAAAGCAAGGGGGAGATTAAAATAGCTTTGTTCTGTTCTATATTATGATTCTGAGATAAATATGTCCAAGTAATGGAACATACTACTTTAATTTCAAAGTAGCAGATTCAAAATGAGAATGAGCTAAGAGAGGGTTTCTTCCAAGGACAAAACTATACAGTTTTCAAATGACTAAAATAAGATAGTCCTGAAAAGTAAATAAAGGGGGAATTAATAATTTGTTAAATGCTGACCTAAATATGAGGACATAATTCTAGGTTAAAAAATTAAAAAACACCTTGACACATTTGTTATTTTGCTCATTAGAAACAAGTATATATACTGACTTGCTCAAAAGACCTACCAGCTTCTAAAAAGTTGTGCTTAAGTGTGAAATATAAAACATCAAAAAACAAAACCAAAAGCCCCTAAAACTTTTAATGCTAACTGTTTTGCCAGAGGCCAGTGCAACAGTACAAGGAGAAGGCACGTGCTTTGCACATGGCTGACCTATGGTCCATACCTGAGACCCCATATTGTCTCCTGAGTCTGCCAGGAATAATCCCTGAGTGCAGAGTCAGGATTAAGACCAGAGCACCACTGGTGTGGCCCAAAAACGAACAAACAAAGAAACAAACAAACAAACGTCTTGCTGAAATGTAAATAATACTTTAATTTTGTTTTTTAAAATTTAGTGTAATTTTAATACATTGGATTCTTAAAGGTGAAGTGGGAAGCAGCCCTGTATTTATAGGGAGAGTGCAGTAAATACTAAGAACAACGTGTGTGGAAGCAATGACTGTGCAAACTATCACAAGATCTAAAAAACATGGATTTGTATTCTAAATTAAATTTTGAATATGAAATCTAAAAATATAATTAAAATTATTCTTTTCAGGAGCTGGAGAGATAGTACAGTGAATAAGATCCCTGCTGCCTTGCAAACAGCCAGCATAGGTTCAATTCCCAGAAACCCATTTGTTCCCGAGTCTCACCCTGAGTGATCAGGAGTGATCCCTGAGTGCAAAGCCAGGAGTAAGCCCTGAGTACAGCCCAAAACAAAGCAATCAAAAAGATTATTTTCACATTTCTATAAGTAAACATTGAACACAAATATTTTAAAATTGCAATTCCTTTGGTGGAAGAGAAACTATCAAAGAAATTGCTAATCTCATGTCTAAAAACTGATTAATCTTACCATATATGAAGGTTGCCGCCAAAATCTCCAGTAGCTAAGTATCTCTGCTGTAAAGATGCTGCACCGAATGTTCCACATTTAATGGGTTTGGCCTTTTCAATCTTGAGAGAAGGGAGGAAGAGGATATATTATTTATGTACGCAGCTACTGATAAGCTGTGATATTAATGGCCCTATTATAGGATTTAAATAAGACACATAATACAAAAAGCAATTAAAACATTTCCTGAAAAAAAAAAGCATGCAATTACGTATAGTCTCAAAGTATTAACTGCCAAAAAGAATGGGTTTTAGCTTGCCTTTCCTCTCATCTCACTAATGAGACACTCAAATGCTGTCAACTCTACCATCTCCATTGGTTTGCAAATATGAAATTTCCTGCATTTAATGTGACTTTTTAAGATCCTCAGTAGAAATGAGAACATCATGAAGATATTCTTTCCAGATGGCTACAGGAACAAAAATGTTTGCATCTCCAATAGTTGTCCCCAAAGAAGCCTATAAACTGAGAATGTTTATAACCTATTCTCTCTGGAACCCATTCAATGCAGAGATTTGTATACCTGCATATACCAAACACACTGCTATTAGGAGGGATGGGGCCATCTTGAGAAGTTTCTTTAATTTAAAAGGCGGCTGCTCCAAGTACTGTATATACTCACATTAGTAAAACAGTCACATACCCATGCACTATTTAAGGTATGTGGCTTATGGGATTCACTGAAGAAGAACAAACACATCATTCAAAGGGCCTTTGGATATGATCCAGCAGCCTAGAACTTTACAGATGTGCATAACTCAAACATTTAATAATATTGAATCAATGCTCTTTTTATATCCAAGTCAATGAAGTTGGCAGAAGAAAATACAAAAAATGGATCAGTGTGGACATACTCTCAAGGATCTTACAGACTAAATACCAGTTTCTATTTGATTCCTCCCTCACATACATTTGCATTCTTTCTCCTACTCTCCCTGATTTTCCACATCTTTATGGGTCTTGCATAGATCTCACTTATTTCTCTAATTATTCTGTGGATCAAATTCAGGGCCCCTCATATATGAGGTATGCACCCTATCACTGAACTATCACTGAATCACATCCCCTGCTCCAACATAACTGCTGTAGTTTACAAATTATTTATATGAGAAGCCAAAAAAGAAAAAGCTCAACCCCTGCGTATGTGTGTGTGTGTGTGTGTGTGTGTGTGTGTGTGTATGAAAGGTTCCATTCTAACACTGTTTTCCTTTCCTTTCACCTTTTTGCCTTTTTGATGACTGAGCAAAAGGTTATTTTTCTCACATGTAACAGTTTTCTTTCTTTTTTCTTTTTTTGGTATTTGGGTCATACCCAGCGATTCTCAAGGGTTGCTCCTGGCTTTACACTCAGGAATTACTCCTGGTGGTGCTCAGGGGACCATATGGGATGCCAGGCAGACACCCTACACGCTGTTCTATCGTTCCGGTCTCATAATGCGGTTTTCATTCTTTGTTTTAGCTTAGATGCTAAAAGACACTAGTAAATGAACACATGGGGTAGTTTATTTTTATTTATTTATTTTTTGGTTTTTATTATTTTGTTTTGGGGCCACACTAGGTGATGCTCAGGGGTTACTTTTCTTTCCCTTCTTTTTGGGTCACACCCGGCGATGCACAGGGGTTACTCCTGGCTCTTCACTCAGGAATTACTCCTGGTGGTGCTCGGGGGACCATATGGGATGCTGGGAATAGAACCCAAAACCTGCTGTGCTATCGCTCTAGCCCCAGATGGGGTAGTTTAGAGGGTTCAGACACTTTCCTTGCATTTAGCTGACCTGGCTGGACCCCAAGCACCACAATGTTCCCCAGAGCACAGAGCCAAGAGTAACCCCCAAATATTTCTGGGCGTGATCCCCCAAAGAGAAAGTGTGAGAATGAGGACAACACAATGTTTTGATTGATTCTTGTGATACCAAAATCAGACCACATATAATAAAGTCAGATATTCTTAGTAGAATGACCCCTCTGGCGCAGAGAATTGATTATTCAAGTCTTTTGTGATGTTCCTTCCAGAAGCAGCAGCACCACATCTAGGTGTTCTGATGTGCAGACACAACTGAGGGCAAACTGGGAGCCACACTGCGATGTGACGGGCACTGGACTAGACATACCCACCTGTGCTGTTTCCCTACTTCACAGCACACATCATCCAAACAAGAGCTGGACTTGCAAAAAGAACATGAAACAACAAACACACTTAGAGGCATGATGGCCCAGCAAGGGCAGCGAGAACTGCGGTGACATAGGAAAGGAGGTAATGAAGTCTGCTTTCTCTGAGCTGGAGAAAGCATGCATGACTGCACCTTCTAGTCCATTTCTCCCACTGGTTGTCACAACTGCAAAGCTCTGACACATAGTTTGCAAATTATTTATAAGAAAACAAGCCACAAAAAAAAAAAAAGGGCTCAACTCCTGTATCAGCTATTACTCAAGATGTTCTCCTAAACTAGACCACTTCTCTCTAATGCAAACAACTCTGTAAGTGTCTGGAATACCTCTTTACAGTGAGGAAACAGGTTCAAAGCTCTAAGTAATTGGTTCTAGAGCTATGCAGACACCAAGCTTTTTCTACTACATAAGGCTGCCTGGGGGCCCATATGTTAATCAATTAAATAAATATTTTATTATTTAGCCCCCATCTGTAAAACATACTGTCTAAAGAACTATCAAAGAACTTTTTTCATTCCGAAATGAAGGGGTACAGTCAATACTATAGGTATGAATTAAGCCTACTTTCAGACTTGGGTCCTTTGGTTTTTTACTTTTATTCATATATTTACTATATACACACATATGTATGTATATAAATACACACACATATATCTCTATATAAGCTATTTATGTTTCTCTCATGTTCTCTTCAGATCAGACTAACAGCAATATGCTGTGTAAGAATAAAATCAAAATCCATAATATCAGCCACATAAAAGTCAGCAAGGATTATGCTTGTTTAAAAAAAACCTCCTATTTTTACAATTCTTAACCATATAAAAGTCAACAACAATTGCAGTAATGGGGACTGGAATGATAGCTCAGCAGGTAGGGCGTTTGCCTTGCATGTGGCCAACCCAGGTTTAATCCCCAGCATCCCATATGGTCCCCCAAGCACCGCCAGGAGTAATTCTTGAATGCAGAGCCAGGAGTAACCCCTGTGCATCACCGGGTGTGACCCAAGAGCAAAAAGAATAAATAAATAAAAAAGAATTACAGTAATGAACAGACTAAGAAAAGCAGGGCTGTTTTCCCTTTCTTTGGAGACTCACAGGAATCATAATAGTAGCTAAATTAAAAGAAAACATTTGAGTGAAGATAAACTTTATAGTTCGTCAAAAGTTTTCTTTCCTTTTGTGAAATACTTTACCTACAGAGGAGAATTTGTGGTTACTTAAATTCTCTGTCTCTCTCTGTCTCTTTCACACACACAAACAAACTGGTTAAAAGAAAATCTATTTTGTCAAATATGTTCCACAGAGAAAATGAGTGTATAGTAAGAGCTTCTGTTGTATGATACTGGAAATGACCATTAATGCTGACAGTATGTAGCCCTGCAACAATAAGTGAACATGATTAAGGAAGCCATGATCAATAATTCCCATGAGAGCTATTCTTGGTTTGTATGTGGGTGAGTCTAGTACAGCTTGTCAGTATTCCCTCCTCCACATCCTGGCACTACTTAATTAACATTAAAAGGTTTAGTCAACCAACTGCGAACAAGTGGTGAATTCAGTGGCACAGGGGCTAAAAAAACAGAACTCTATGAGCTTATTACAATGTGGGGGATTTGTTTTGGTTTGGGGCTATACCCAGCAGTGCTCAGGGGTTCTTCCCAGCTCAATGCTCCAGGGCTGCTCCTGAGAGTGCTTAGGGGGCCACGTGATACTGAGATCGACCCCAGGCTTCCTCCATGCAAAGCCTGTGCTTGGACCTTGGAGCTCTCTCCCCAGGTCTCACATATTACAATTCTCACACATACATCCCTATCTATCTAGTCCTGGATGTCAATTTGTAAAAAGGTACCCTTTCCAAAACAATGAAGTCTCAGACCTATCTCAGACTGGAGAGGCAAGAATTCCTGCCCTCACCTGAACCCCTGGCTAAGCCTGTGTAGGGTACAGCACATGGCTCAACTGCAGGTGACACCTCGCCCTCAGTCCCTGTCAACCTCCCGTACCATGCTCGGAAAGACCCATATGCTCTCATCACTGGTTTTTATCTGGGGTTCACAGGTTTTAGAATAGGGCTACTTAAACCTTCTCTATTCATGACCACTTTTCTCCCAAGAAATTTTTTCACGATTCTGGGTATATAAAACAGGTATATAAACCAAAGATTTACAGATCACAGATCATAAGTTTATTTTTGCAATCAAACTTTTACAACTCCTACGCTCAGTTATGTGACCCCATATGTCACAACCCACAGTTTAAGCTAGGGTTTAGAACACATGCAATGAGGCAGATTCACAATGAGGAAATAAAGTATGTTTCCTAATGCTGTATTTTAATAAATAATTCATCTAGCAGAATGCCAGTCACCCTGAGACTCATTAAAATCAACTGAAGGAAATTTAAAAAGTACTGATGCCCTGGGCCTCACGACAGCATGGATGCCAGGATTCTACGCTGCGTCAGAATGTTAACTAAGTGGAAACAGGGCACTTATTTTATTTATCACTATTATTATTTTGGTTTTTGGTCACATCCAACACTGATCAGGACTTACAAGGCAAGTGCCATACCCACTCCACTATTTTTCTGTGCCCACCCCGCTCACACCCCCCCAAACCTTAATTAAAAAACAAACAAACAAACAAACAAACAAACATGTTCTATCCTCTCTAAAGAGAGCATAGGCTTTTTATAAAAAGATAATCACCTCTCAATTTTTTCTGGTTTACCCTTGGAAATAATTGGTTCTCTCTAGAGAGTTTATGATATAAGTTAAAGTCTAAAAGAATACTGATAGAACTACAAAGATGGTTAATCCTAGAATTAAAATTACTGGTGACCAGTATTTCAGGGGTGAGCAATGAACCACCAGACTGGCATAGCTGGGGCAAGCATTCGTGAGAAGGAGACCTGGAGTTCTCAGTACTTCTGGGAGCCTACCTCTTCCTGATTTAAAAAAAAATTAAAAAGGATGATAATTTTTCCTTTTACCAAGCTACACTTTATCTTTTAAAAAAATTTAAAAGTTTTTTTTTTTTAAATTGAATCTCTGTGAGATACAGTTACAAAGCTGTTCATGATTAGTTTTCAGGCACACAATGTTCCAACACTCTTCCCTTCATCTTCCTAGCTACACTTTAAAAATATCTCATCATGGATATACATTACATTTCCTGAAAATTTTTAAAAATTTGCTAGAGAGGCTGGAGTGATAGCACAGCAGGTAGGGCGTTTGCCTTGCATACGGCCAACCCGGGTTTGATTCCCAGCATCCCATATGGTCCCTGAACACTGCTGGGTGTAATTTCTGAGTGCGTCAGGAGTAACCCCTGTGCATCGCCGGGTGTGACCCTTCAAAAAAATTGCTAGAGGGGAATTTAGTACAGAGAGATAGTACAGTGGGTAGGGTGCTTGCCTTCCAAACAGCCAACTGGGGTTCAATCCCTGGCATCCCATATGGTTCCCCAAGCACTGCCAGGAGTAATTCTTGAGTGCAGCTACAGGAGTACCCCCGAGCATGATCCAAAAAGAAAAAAAAAATTCTAAAACTGTTCAGAATCTGGGGCTGGAGAGATAGTACAGCAAGCAGGTAAGGCACTTGTCTTGCATGTAACTTACCAGGTTTTCATTCCTGGCACCACATATGGTCCCCTGATCCACTAGGAGTGATCCCTGAGTATAGGGCAGAAGTAAGCCCTAAGTTCATTCAGTTATAGTAAAATACAAACAAAAAAATAGGAGAATAAAAAGAATTATCAAAATCTGTAAAAAAGACAAAGAGCACCAATTTACATAAAACAAATGAGTCCCTAAACTATAAACAAATTATGTTCCCTCTTTTTAAGAAGTCACAAGCTTATAGATATTCTATGATCAATCTTTGCTTGTATTTGCTTGTGAAAATTCACCAGCAGGCTTCTTTTGCTATTCGCTGCTACTCTAATGTTTCTCATTCATTCAAACTCCTCACCCAAACTAACTAATAATCATGAGGCCAATATTTAAATATCCCAAGTTAGATCCTTTTACAGATCTATATTCACTCATTCTTTTAACAAGCAATTCATTGAGTGGTTGCTCCTTACAAACCATAACAAACCACACTGAGGAAGATACTGTTCTTACTCTCCAGGAGCTTATAATCTAATTTGAAATAAATGAGAGAGAATGACACACTTCTGGTACAGATATGATATACCAGAGAAATGCACTGTGTGGGGTTCTTCAACTTTGGATGGAAATTAGGAGGAGGGGGGTTCAACTCAGCAAATACCCTGAATTTGACCTTAGAAGAGCACCCAGTGATCAGAGATGGAGAGATGGAAGAAAGGGTAAAAAATAAGTCAGTGGGACTGGGTTAAGGCACTTGCCCACAGCAAACCCTGGTTTAATTGTGGCGCCACCAGGAATGATCCCTGAGCAGAGTTAGGAGTAATTCCTGACCACTGAGAAGTGTGGTCCACCACCCTTCAGACCCCCATGGAACAACAACTGCAACAATAACAACAACAAAACAGAAAAGAAAAAAAGAAAGTCAGTAATGATTAAGAACCCCGAGAAGAGCACTTGACTAGCCTTGAGAGACTGAACAAGAACACTGGCAATAGCAAAAATTGAAAACGGGATGTGATCTTACCTACCTCCTAATTCAAGACTGCCTGTTGGACTGTAGTGATCTTACCTACCCTAACTCCTGCTTCTTTCAAGAAGATTTGCTCCATAGTTTTTGGTTCCTAAAATTCTCAATCTTTTCTGTACTCTAGTATATTCCAAAATGTTTGATTAACTATTTTCTGGCAAATGAAATCAATTTATTACACTGAAAAGAGACTTAAAAATGTTAGCTCACTATTGGCAAATTCTTTCACTAGCAATCTTTATAAAGGTTGCAAATCTGATCATGCCATACCCTACTTAAAGACTTTTTAAAAATACTTCTTTTGGGGGCCGGAGCAATAGCACAGCGGGTAGGGCGTTTGCCTTGCACGTGGCCGACCCAGATTCTATCCCCGGCATCCCATATGGTCCCCAAGCACCTCCAGGGGTAATTCCTGAGTGCAGAGTCAGGAGTGATCCTCTTGCTGGGTGTAACCCAAAAACAAAACAAAAAAACCCCAAAAGAACAAAAAAAAAACCCTTTTTCTTGGTGCATAAATATTTTAAATAAATTATAATTAGTTCCCAGAAGGTACAAGATCTTCTGGTCCTGATTTCTCTTTTGTTTCTACTCTTGGTGTGGGCAGAATCTAAGTCTGGGTCAAAAGACATAAAGCATGTACTCTACTACTGAACTCCATCCCTGGTCCCTCTTCAGATTGCTGTCAAAACGACCTACTCTTTTTCTAGATGGGTTAACTGGTGCCTGCTCCTCCTAAACCTGTTTTTGTCTCATGGAGCTATGTTCCTTTACGCCAGAGAATTCATCTAGGTGTGTATTTATTACATCGCTGGTCTGAAGCACAATGAAATGATTCACCCGGTAGAAAACTCTGTCACAGAAGGATTCTTGTCATACACATGCCTGTAATACCAGGCAACCGATGGATGAAACTTTCAAAGAACGTATGTGCAGGTTGTCTCCTCCAACTATACTGCCTGCATCCTGGTGCCTGCTTTCGCTCCTGCTAACGTGGGCATCTTAATAAACCCACAGCAAACAACTCTGCACCGTCCCCGAAGGACCTTGAAATCTAGATACCAAGTCTCCGCGTCACTTTCCAAAGATCACGATTTCCAAAGAGCTGCGAGGGTGGAAGAGTGGGTGCAGAAAAACAAGGCTCTTTAGGTCTCGAACCAAAGTGTTTTACGTCGGCCGTGTGTACTCCTCAATTCGCGATTTAAATTCGCTAGGCCCTTAGTGGAACCGTGCTTTGGAAAGACGCCCGATGGACGAAAGTTTCGACGAAAAAAAAATGCAAACCCCGCCCAGGATCCGCTCTCGCCGGGCCCCCCCCAACCCGCCCCTCTCCCCCGCGCCCCCCCCCCCAGCAGCCCCGAGACCCTGGAACTGGGCAGTCCGCGCTGGCACCCACCTCCCGAAGCAGCTTTAGGTCCCCGTGCTGGATCTCGTACAGCTGAATAACTCCGGTGCCCCGTGCGAAGTTGCCCATGGTCACAAATTTTGCGCTGCAAGGCACCCACTTACAGTCAAACACCGTATAGTTGAGGCTTTTCTGCACGTGGGCGATGATCTGAGGTTTTTCGAAGGCCGACATGGTCCAGCAGATTTCACCTCTGCCAAGAGTTTACACTAGACCCTGACGGTACACACTAACGTGGAAACCAGACTCAAAACAGAAACGACAGTTTGTTCCTCCCGCCTGCCGTATTTTCCCCTAACGCCACAGCGAGTTGGGTTTAGTAGACCTAAATGATGCCAGGGCAATAATAAAGTAACCCAAGATTTATTCCGCACCGATGACATGAAATAATTTTTCGCCTTCTCCTATTACTCACATATGCAGATGTAGAGATGAGAAAAAATGCTCTGGCTGTTGTTGGCGAGGTCAAGGAAGCGACCACAAAAATCAGGCATATTTCAGAACAGCCTCTTTCTCCCGCAGGCCCTCGCAGAAAATCCTGCCTCAGGACCCCCAGCGTGAGACTCCCTAGGCAGAGGGGCGGAGTCCTGAGCCGGAGAGGCGGAAGGGGAAGACGTGCGCCTGCGCGTTGCGGTAGCGCACGTGTCCGAGCCGGAAGCCCGTGCCGCTGCCGGAGACTCTTCGGCATGGAGAGCGCGATGGAGGCGCAGACCGTGGGCGCTGAGGACGGCTTCACCCATGTTCTCCGCAAGGGGGGTCGGCGGGCGAAAAAACGGCGGGCTGAGCAGCTGTCCTCGGCCGGAGAGGGCGCGGACGCGGGGCGTATGGACACTGACGAGGCCCAGCCGGCCAAGAGGCCCGTGTTCCCGCCCCTCTCCGGGGACGCGTTCCTGGTACTCGCGGGCGACCCCGGGGACTGGGACGGGACTGGGGGCTGGAGGCGGCACCCGTGGGTGGCCTCTGGGTGATGCTGAGAACTGCGGACATCTCCGGCGTGAGGTTCTGCAGGGAAGTCTTTTGGAGTTTAGCTTATTCATTGCAGGGCGGATTTTTGTAGCACTTCCCCACCCTCCCACCCCCCCCATGCCTGACCTCTGCGTTCTGTTTTATTATAGAGTGGGAAAGGCGAAATCAGGAAAGTTCCAGTCCCAGCCAACAGATACACGCCCTTAAAAGAGAACTGGATGAAGATTTTTACTCCGATTGTAGAACACTTGGGACTTCAGATACGCTTTAACTTGAAATCGAGGAACGTAGAAATTAGGGTAAGGAGAATGTCAGTCATTTCCAAGCACACATATTTTTCCTGCAGGGACGAAAGGTGCATGAATTGCTCTTAATGGGATTTGCTCGATACTTTCCGTTTTCTAATTTTAGTGAAATTTGCCCAGATATCTTCAAAATCGGGTTTATTAGGTCCATGTAATAAATAATTCAGCATCAGTATCAGTTTAATTTGTAAATTAGCCGAAACCATACCAAAAGACTGCCTTCGCATAGTGCTTTATAAAGTTCTATAGTGAATTAAGAAGAGGAGTAAAAAAGAGAATTATAGATAGACAAGTGTTCAGTAATCAGAAAGTGTGTGCTTGTAGTACAGGCACTGTATTTCAATATTATTCTTGAGGGGTGGGGAGAATGTTGTATTGAGAATATGTATGAAGAGTGTGTGTGTGTGCGTGCCCGCCTCTGTGTGTATGTGTGTGTGTGTGTCTTAGTGTGTCTTATCTTGTGGTGCAGTCCAGAAGTTAGACAAAAATATCTTTTTGAGGATGATTATACCACCTTTGGGACTCTTGTAGATTCATCTCTGTTGATGATATAAAGACATGAATAATGTAAAGCACCATTCCAGAGAGTAGCTGGGAAAATTTGAAATGTGGGTTTGATGATTAGAGAACCCTTTTTCCCATTAGCCACACTTTACCCAGGAGTTGATGGTTTCATGCAGTGACTTCATGTGTCCCTACCAGATTTGCTCCCTTCGTTGCTTTCAGTCTCCTACACTCCATCCTCTATGCCAGTGCCAGATTAAATTCCCCAGACTTTTGTTGTTTTTGATGTGTTTTTATTGTAGTTTAGGTAACATGCTTACAATATGTTAATGTTTATGGTTTTCATGAACAAAGATATAACTCCTTTATCAACACCAAAGTGTCCAGTATCCTCCAGTACTGTCCTAAATGTCTCCTCTGGTGTGTCTGCCCCTCCCTAAACCCCTGACTGACTCATTCTCAGTTTTGTAATCTAGGGCCAGTGGTTTGTCAGGAGTGATGAAAATTAAGTTTCTATTTGATCTTGCCCTTTAAGTAGGAATCTTGTTCCCAGGTTTCCTCTTCCTCTCTCAGAGCAGTTCTGTGTGTCGTCTTTGCTCTCTGCAGGCTCTCTCTGTCCTCATCCCATTCTCCCTCAGTTCTAGCCCTCCATCATAGGGCTGAGGTTTCCGACCTTATTTGTCCTACTGCACCATTTCAGAAATAAAATCACTCAGTTTCACCTCGAAAATCTCTCATCTTTAAGCAAATTAACAGAAAACGCAGTAAACAATTATTGTCCCTGCTACTCCCCCCCCCCCCCCCCCCCCCCCCCCCGTTCCTAGTAGAAGCCATAGCACCACTTTGGGAAACACTGTTTTAGGGTCTACCTCAAGGCTTTCTTCTTTATTTGACCCTTTTCAGTCATTTCTTCGGTGTCAGAACTTTTATTTGGGGTGGGTGGCTTCAGTTCTGCCTAGTGGTAGGCAACCAGGCCAGATAGTTCAGCACTCCTTCCCAATTTGGGGGGGTGCATGAGCACAAGGGTGCTGGAAACCATCAGGACCATACCCAGTGGTCCCAGGGTCCATGCAGTATTGGGGATTGAATTTGGGACTCTGCATTTCAGGTATGTGTTCCTGACCCTGAGGTACTCCTGACCCAGTGCCTAAGCTTTGTGTTATATTGCAGTAGCATCCATTTGGATCCCAGTAACTTGTGTTGATGCTGCTGTATTCCAGACCCAGAGGGGTGCTTTGGCATACCTTGCATCAGTATGGTTTTATAATGTCACATAAGGTAGATGACACATTTTCAATTTGGATATATGAGGAAACTGAAAAAGAAGTGTCTTGGCCAAAGTCACCAAGCTAGTAAAAAGGTAAAAGGTAAAGGCCCTCCCGTTGATCGTCGATTTGCTCGAGCGGGCCCAGTAACGTCTCCATTGGAGACTTTGTTGTTACTGTATCTGGCATATCGAATACTCACAGTAGCACCAAGCTAGTAAGTGAGTGTTAATAGTTGAGACCTCTCTGAATCTTCTACACTTATATCCTTATTCTCAGATGAGAAAATGTAAGATCTGGAGGGTCTACAAAAGTTGGCCAAAGTCACATAAGGACGTTAATTGGGATCTGGTTTTAAATGTTTCATTATACCACCTTGTATGGTTTTGTCAGGTGTGTGGTCTCCTCAGCCTGATTTTGAATCTGTGTGAATAGAAATAATGGTTTTGGATTCAGACCTGGTTCAAATTTTAACCTGTTCTCCCAGATAAAAACCATGGGAATATCACTTAGTATTTAGGATTGTAATGAAATTTACAGCTCTGAGGTGTAAAACAATCCGAGGGTGCATGTTCTTTTCACGGGTGGGCATTTGATGAAGAGTAGCCATTTCTGTGGTATTCAAATAAACAGAAAGCTGGATCCCTGCTTTAAAAAATGTCATTAATTCATACTGGAGTTGTTGCCTTGGGGAGCATTAGCACATACGTGGTTCATCTCCTGAGGGAGGTATTCCATTAAGTCTATCTGGGAGACTGCACCCAGGAAGAGAGAGAAGGGGCCCTGCTTAGTTCGGGTGATGGCTCCATTGGACTGGGCAGAGATCCCGCTGTAAACTCCAGACCCTTGGGAAATCAGTCGCCTACTCCAGCTGGGAAAGCTGCCCATTACCTCACCAAAAAGTGGACTTTAAGGCCTGTTGTGTTCGCAAAGGGTGGTGGTGGAGGGAATTTTGATGGAACATCACCTTTTCCACCTCCAGCTGTAAACACCTTTGTTTCCCTTTGTTTCATTAAACAGACATGTAAAGATACCAAAGATGTTGGTGCTCTGACCAAAGCCGCTGATTTTGTGAAAGCCTTTGTCCTGGGGTTTCAGGTGGAGGTGAGTGGCCTCATGGCAGCTGAAGGAGGGTTTGAAGAAAGACTCAGTGTGAATGTTTTCTTGGGTTTGGGGATTTTGGCCCATGATTTTATTTCTTTGGGAAATAAAAGCCTCCCAGTGGGCTGCTTCAGCAGACCCTTGGCCTGTGGGCCTGATGGCTGGTTGTTGCTGGCCACCAGCACTGCGGCTCTGTGCTGTGGTGCTAGGGATGGGATGCAGGGAAACTCACCAGGTCTATACCCATGATGGTGGGGGCTGAAAGTCATGCAATGCCAGGTATAAACTGGGGAGCCTTGCACATACCCCTCGAGCTGTCTCTCCTCAAACCCATCCACCCTTTTTTTCCAGTTTGGGTTTTTTGGGGGGTGGAGGGAGGGGGCGGGGGTCGCACCCAGCAGTGCTCAGGGATTACTCTTGGCTCTGTGTGCTAAGGAATTACTCTTGGCAATGCTTGGGAACCATATGGGATGCCAGGGATTGAACCCTCATTGGCTGCTCACTATGCTATCACTCTGGCCCCATTTGAATTTTCTGGTATATAATTTGTGAATTTTAGTTTGCCATCATTCTCAGGTAGCTAAGGGACTTGTGTTTACTTTAATGTTACAGGATGCACTTGCCCTCATTAGACTGGATGACCTCTTCCTAGAGTCTTTTGAAATTACAGATGGTGAGTGCTTTGTGGTCTTATTCTACAATTCGGGTATTTTTGTATTGCTAACTTAATGGACTGGAGCGATAGCACAGTGGGTAGGGCGTTCGCCTTACACGCGGCCAACGTGGCCGACCTGAGTTCGATTCCTCCGCCCCTCTCGGAGAGCCTGGCAAGCTACCGAGAGTATTCGATATGCCAGACACAGTAACAACAAAGTCTCCAATGGAGACGTTACTGGACCCGCTCGAGCAAATCGACAATCAACGGGAGGGCCTTTACCTTTACCTTAGGGTTGGAGCGATAGCACAGCGAGTAGGGCGTTCGCCTTACACACGGCCAACATGGCCGACCCGAGTTCGATTCCTCCGCCCCTCTCGGAGAGCCCGGCAAGCTACCGAGAGTATTCGATATGCCAGACACAGTAACAACAAAGTCTCCAATGGAGACGTTACTGGGCCCGCTCGAGCAAATCGACGATCAACGGGAGGGCCTTTATTTTATTTATATTTTAACTTTAAAAGAATTTTTGAGTAGTATTGGTTGAGGGTTTTTTCTCAGCTTAAAATTCAAAAAAAATTTAACTGAAGTAATAAATATTATGACCTGCATGTTTTGGTGTGACCGGTTTCTAAAAAATGCTTTGAATGACTGAATTCATTTGTGGTATATAAAAATATATATAGTAGAAGACTAATATCCATGGCCAGAGAAAACAGGAGTTAGGAGGACTGGTCAGTGGTTGGAACTAACCACAAGTGTGTGTGGGTCTAAAGGTAGGTAAGATAGAGAATGGACCAATATGACAATAATAACTGAGAATGATCACGCTGGACAAGATCTGAGGGTTAAAAGTAGGTAAAGAAATATTGATAACCTTTCAGCATCAATGTTGTAAACCATAACACCCAAAAGGAAGGAGGGAGGGAGGGAGAAGAAAAGTGCCTGCCATAGAGGCAGCAGGGGGTGGGGGTGATGGGAGGGAACCTGAGGACAGAAGAAAATTATTTTCTCCAGGTCATATCTGGATAATAGATGCATTGCACCTGTTGTGATTCTAAATGTCATTTTCTGAATTAAATAATGTATTCACTAAAAAAAATAAGTATTTTGTCTCTTGTAGGGAGAATTAATGATTAAATTTTGTTTAAGTGGGTTGTGCACTGGAATGACTTGCTTCCATTGATTTTCTTATTTAGTAAAGCCCCTAAAGGGAGACCACCTATCCCGAGCTATTGGAAGAATTGCTGGCAAAGGAGGAAAAACCAAATTCACCATAGAGAATGTGACACGGACACGGATAGTTCTGGCTGATGTGTAAGTATCTGATCTTGAGGGTATTGTCATAAAATTATATTGGACATTTTGTTGGCTTCAAAAGGTCACAGAGATAGTCTCTGTGTAACTAGCACTAATTCTTATCAAGATAAAATTCTAGACAGTTACCTGCAATGAGTTGATTAAGTTAATTGAGAATAGCTTAGAAATTGGAGCTTTATTCTCAGGCACCAGTGAAAGAAGTGTCTAGAATCCTGTAAAGATGACTTGACAGTTGAGAATTTAATGTTTCAGAATCCAGAAATTGATCTATTAATGGTTAAAGTAAAGCCAAAAAGTGGTTGGTTTTTTTGTTTTTGTTTTTGTTTTTTGGGTAACACCTGGCGATGCACAGGGATTACTCCTGGCTCTGTACTCAGGAATCACCCTTGGCAGTGCTCAGGGGACCATATGGGATGCTGGGAATCGAACCCAGGTTTCCCACGTACAAGGCAAACACCCTACCCGCTGTGCTATCTCTCCAGCCCCAGGAGTGGTTTTTTAAATCCCTTTGTGAGGCTCTCATTTGAAATCACTGTCACTGTCCTCCCATTGTTCATCGATTTGCTCGAGCAGGCCCAGTAACGTCTCCATTGTGACAATTGTTACTGTGTTTGGCATATCGAATACATCACGGGTAGCTTGCCAGGCTTTGCCGTGCAGGCGAGATACTCTCAGTAGCTTGCCGGGCTCTCCAAGAGGGGTGGAGGAATCGAACCTGGCTCAGCCATGTTGGCTGCGTGCAAGGCAAACGCCCTATCCGCTGTGCTATCGCTCCAGCCCTCATTTGAAATATTTTATTATTATAAAGACTATTCATAAAAGAAGAAAACCAGCAGTTAAACGTGGACATAATGAAATTGCGATGTGCTGAGAATCAAAGCGCTTTGAGTCCAGCTTGAGTAGCCAGTCTGAGTTGGCAGCTGCTCTGTCACTAGGTTGGGATTATTAGGAGATGGCTCAGAGGTGATGACCACAAGACTGGGAAACAAAGCAGCTGATTGAGTGGAAGAGGTGTCTGCCTGCTACTAAATCCTGAAATAATTTTGTTCAAAATCACCTCATCATTGCTCTAAATCAAGAGACTCTAAAACCATTAATTAGAATAAAAATTTTAGACTCTGTCCCTTAGGTGTAATTGTAACCCTAGATTGCTGATGTTCTTTACCTAAAAATGGGTATAAGTTGATCATTAGGAATTGAGCCTAGAGTTGGGGATATGAAGTTCTGAGAAAATCTTTCTTAAACTAGAGATTTTGGGGCTGGAGTCATAGTACAGCAGGTGAGGTGTTTGCCTCAGGCTGCTGACCCAGGTTCTATTCCCAGCATCCGATAAGGTCCCCTGTGCATCGCCAGGTGTTACCGAAAAAGAAAGAAAAAAAAAACACTAGAGATTTCAACATTTTTGACATGTATAACACATTTCAAAATATCATGAGTTGCCAGCTCTAAAAACTGCTTAGAAGCTAAAAATGTAACTACTTTGCTAATCAAATTATGGTTAAGATTTTAAATTTACAGCTTAATGCATTCATAAAATAAGTATATACATATATATATAGAGAGAGAAAGAGTGTGTTAAAATGTAGTTAATCTAATTTCTTAAAACAGCTTTTGTTGTGGAATGATTTATACACAATATGGTTTACCTGTTTCAAGGATAGAGGTCAGTGAGTTTTTGGCAAATGCTCTGTCCATCACTGTGGTTCCACTGCACGTACAAGTCCATCACGCCAGTAGTTCTTTGCTTATCTCCTCAGCCCCCCTTAGCCAGTCAGTCATTATCGAGTTTCTGTCTTGATAGTTTTGCCTTTCTAGTAGCTTATGTAAATGAAAATACTTATATAAATGTAGTCTTCAGTGTATCATAGGGGGTGGGGTGTTTTAATTAGCATGGTTTTGAGCATCCATAATTCTTCATTTCTGATGATAAATTGCATTTTATGTGTCTATCTGCAGTTGAAGGACATTTGAGTAGTTTTGTGTGTGGGGTCATTATGATTAAAGTAGCTATTGGATTTTTTTATTTTGCAAACTCATACAAATGACTTGAATTAAAAATGTGCTACCTTGTGTGTTTGTTCTAAGTATGCTAACTGGAAATCTGCATGTTTAGTGATTATGTTAATGATGATAAAGTCACAAACTGGACTCACACCCTTGTAAATGTTATTTTGATGACTTACTAATAACAGCAAAATACAGAATAATGTGAATAAGATGTGAAATTGAAATATCTTTGTTCCAACTGTATTTAATATGTTAGAGGATTATTTTGCCTGCTTGTTCTAAGACCTCCATTCCATCCAAGCTCCTGCCCAGCTACTTTGGTGGGCTTAACAGGAAAACTTCTCATACATAGTGTTGTGGCTGCTCATAGTCTGCGTAGAGCAAAAGTTTGTTTTTTTTCTTAATGGTATCAGGGACTTATTAAGGGCCACATAGAGGCACACATTCATTACCCGTCCCAGGAGTTTTATTTTTCAGAACATTAGACATACGTAGTATTCTAATGCCTCAAAGAAAATTTGAACTCTTTGGACTAGTTCCCCTCATTCCCCCCACCTCTAAGCTTTAATACCTTGTTAAACACCTTATTAAACGTGTATGTTTAAATACCTTGTTAGTAGAGTATTAGGTTCTTGATTTTCTTTTCAGGTTCACTGTTGACTTCCTACCATGAAAGATGAAACTCTAGCATTCTCTCACCCCTTCCCTCTCCTCCTCTCCGCTCATCTCTCTGCTATAAACAAGCCTGTTGGCTTATTCCCATCTTCTTCCGACATTGTGGTTTTTATTAGACCAGTGGTCAGTATTAACTAAAATGTCAGTGCTCAATATAGTAGTAGATTACCAAGATGATATGCTATGATTATTTTATATCCTTTGCAGTTTTTACCTGAAATACTCAAGCGTCTATGTCTTTATCTCCTCTTGCTATGTTTGAAATATCAAACATTTTTAGAAATTTCTCCTGGCACCATGTATTCTGGAAGCACTTGCACCAGTCTCTCTGGTTCCCAGCTGGCCTCTCAATTCTCTTTTTACCCTTCCCTTTTACTGTCTGAATCTCTGGGTCTAATCTTTTTCCCCTCAGTGCTTCTTATTTTCCTGACACAGGCTATGGAATCCAGGAATTAATATAACATAGGAAGTATGTGTTTTTTGAAACCCATTTCTGAAAATTCCTTCTGTCTTGGCCAAGTACACATCTTTCAGTTAGAAGTCATTCTCATTCACAAATCTGAAGGCATTTCTATGCATCACCATTTCACTTTCAGTTTTGAGAACCCCAAAGCCACTTTGATTCCTATTTCTGGTGCTTTGTACCCAGGTTCTGAAATTTCACAGTGAGGTGCATTGATACGGGCCTTTTTTACTTCTCTTACTAGGCTCTTTCAGAGTAGGAACACATCTAAAGTTCTGAGACCTTTTCTTGGATCCTCTTTAGTTTTCCTTCTTTCCCTGTCTTGTCCTATCTGGAATCCCTTTCTGTTACTCTTTCTGATCCTGTTTCATTTTCTTAACATCCTGTGTTTTTACTTTGTTAGACACACAGATTCTGCTGATAGGGTGTGCTGTGTGTATGGGTGGAATGGTAAGAATCAAAATAGCCCTCACGGTTCATGGGGGATGAGGTTGGAGGCGAAAAGTTGACTGCAAGTTTCAGCTTGGTTGACTGACCAGGCTGTTTCTTTGGAGAAAGTTCTGGTGTCAGTGTCTTCAGTCTTTACGAGCAGGTCAGGTTCTCCAGAGAAGCATTCTTCGGTCTTCTTTGCTGCTACTCAATTTTTGTTTGTTTCTTGTTTTGCCTAGTTGGGTCACACTCAGTCGTGTTCAGGGACTAACTCCTAGCTCTGTACTCCAGCTGGGTCAGCTACATGTAAGATAAGTGCCTTAACTCTGCCCTCTCTGGCCTGCCAGGAATCACACCCAGGGCCTTCTACATGCAAAGCTTTCAGTGTGTTTTCTGAAGTACCTACCACCTGTCTGCCAGGCTTTCAGAGCCCATTACAGAATGGTTGCACATCTCAGGATTTAGGTGCAGAAGTTTGCTTGATGTGGACTTAGCTTTTGGCTCTCTGCTCCTACCTCTGCTATGTCTACAGACTCTTTGTCTTTTGCTGTCTACGTGAGCAATCCGTCCCCACCCCCATAACTTTGCCAGTTACAGAGGGGGGGGTTGCCTGTTTATTCCGGGTGAAGATGATCTGGGGACTTTGTCATGAACAAGTTTTTTAAAACTGATTCTCATTTTTATCTTCACCTTCACACTATGTTTTGGTGTATTGGAACCTCAGGGAGAGGTTTCTACTTGATGTTCCCCCTGCCAGTTTTAGTGTCAGTTTATTGTCAATTTAAAGTTGGGCTTGAGAAAAGCAAAATGCTGTATTGCCAATTTTACTTAGTGTTAGTCAATAAGGAATGCCCATTAAAATGGCCTGCAACAGTACCTCTGTGAATACTGAAGAATTGGGGTGATTTGTTTGAAAGCATTGTAGTTGAAGTGCAAAGAGGGTTTTTTTAAATGTAGGTTTAATGTAGGAGTACTGCTATTTATTCAGCCACTGTTTAGCTGATTGAATTGTACATGTACTCCACCTTAATTTTTTTTCCATTTTTTATAATTTTATTTATTGAATCACCGTTGAGGGCAGTTACAAAGCTTTTGGGTCTAAGTCTCGGTCATACAATGAAACACCTGTACCTTCACTAGTGACCATTCTCCACCCACAACAACCCCAGTATACCCCCATCCCACACCCTCCCCCTACCTGTGGGACAGATGATTTCCAAATTACTCTCTCTCTAATTTGATCACATTCAATATTTTGACACCAGATCCACCATTATTATTTGAGATTTTACCTCAACACTTAGATATGCTGAAAAGGCAAAGACAATTTGTGATCTATTGCTGGTTATGAATAACATATGATGTCACGTGCCTGCAGTAGTGGCCGTGCGATTTTGAAATTCCGAAATTTTAACACTTAAATCTGGAGGGATTTCTGCCAAAACCTGCTGGGTTCCGAGATTTACTCCTGAGTCTCTGGGATCATGGCCGTTAAGCAGCTTGATCAGGAGCCATAAAGGCTGTTCACGGGCGCTGACTTGGGGTCTCGTTGGGGTGGGGAGGACAGGACCAGCTCCACCCCCATCCCGTGAGGCCCAAAATGTCTCATCACTGTGGGCCCAGACCTGACTGTCCAATGGCCTCTGGAGGATGACGGCCACCGAGCCGCCAGGGGCAAGCAGGGAGGGACAACACCCTTTCCCCCCTGGGGTGGCCCGGCGACAGTAACTTACTGTGTGGTCCGGACACATTCCTGCCAAAAGTCGCTGAATTTCGAGATTTGTTTCTGAGTCTCTGGGATCATGGCCATTAAGCAGCTTGATCAGGAGTCAGAGAAGCCGTTCGTGGGCGATGACTTGGGGTCTAATTGGGACGGGGAGGACAACCGGCTCCACCCCCATCCCATGAGGCCCAACAAGTTTTTATTTTTAATTTAATTGAAACACAGTGATGAACACATTTACAGATTTGTTTATAACGTATTTCAATCATATAATGTTCCGACACCCGTCCCTTTACCAGTGTGCTTTTCACACCACCAGTGGTCCCAGTCCTCCTCCCCCTCCCCCTCCCCCTCCTCCCCCTTCCCCTTTTCCTCCCTCTCTGTCCCCCTTCCCTCCTGTCCCCCCACCCCCAACACCTTAAGGTTTGCTATATGGGTAATGAAAGGTCATCGGGTATATCCCTTTACCTACTTTGAGCACTCAGTTCCTGTCCAAAATGATCATATCCAACTATTATTGTCATGTTGGTCTCTTCTCTACCCTCACTGCCCTGTGCCTCCCGAAAAGTCATGTGGCAAGCTTCCAACCACTGACCAGTCCTCTTGGCTTCTGTTTACCGTCACCTTGGGTATTAGCCTTATACTATTTGTGTCTTTTTTTTTTTATATTCCACAAGTGAATGCAGTCAGTCATTCTTATCTGTCCCTCTCCTGACACATTTCATTTAGCATGATACTCTCCATGTCCATACATTTATAAGCAAATTAAAGATATTTTGATTAAAAGTACAGTGTTACTTTAATAACTGCCAGTGTTTAAATTTGACGGGTTTCTAGATTTCCTTTGTGTGATCTGCTTTTCCTTTTGAACGACTGATAACATCTATCTTAAAAGCTAATGTTTAAGGATTAAAGGAGAACATGTAAACCCTAATACATAGAAAATACTCTTTAGATGGTAGATATTGTACACTGTAGCACTGTCACTGTCCTCCTGTTGTTCATCAGTTTGCTCGAGTGGGTACCAGTAACGTTTCACAACAAATTGTGAGACTTGTTATTATTTTTGGCATATCAAATACGTCACGGGGAGCTTGCCAGGCTTTGCCATGCAGGCGAGATACTCTCAGTAGCTTGCCGGGCTCTCCGAGAGGAAGATGCTTGCTATGATTATTAATTTTAAAGAACTCAGTTAAAAAAATTTTTTTTAGTCCTTTATAGTTAATTTTTTACTGGCACATAATACTACAAAATTCCTACCCCCCCTTCAGGTAGTTTTTAGTGAATGGACAGAGTTATGCAGCCATCACCCCTGCTTTTACTTAGAATCTATGTCTATCATGATTTTTTAAGAGGATGCTTTTTGTTGCTAACTTGACTCATTCTCTCTTGCAGGAAAGTTCACATCCTTGGCTCTTTCCAAAACATCAAGATGGCAAGAACTGCTATTTGCAACCTCATCCTGGGTAAGAGTCCTTTATTTCTCTGGTGTTTTCTCTGCAAAGAAAATAGAGAATTTAGGAACTCACACCACTTTTGCAAATCATTGTAGGAAGAGTTCTCTGGCCTAGAGAGGAGTAGGATCTTTGCTTGGATTCCATCAGTCAGCTTGAGAAGAGAGAGGGTTTATCGGGTAGGAGTACTGATGTCTTTGCTCCTTTTCCTGACGAGATGACAGAAAAGCCATTCAAGAATAGCAGGCAAAGTCATGTTTCAGGTTCAGCAGAAGGGAGCTGCTGATTAGTATCAGTCAACTTACTTGATCAGACTAGTCTCATTTGCAAATCTGCAGCAGTCAGCAACCTAGGTTGTGATTTCCAGGATTGGGGTAGCTTGCACAGAAAATGTTCTTGTTCTTTTTAGGGTTGTTCAGTTTCCCAGGTAGTTTTTATAGGTCAGTGTATTTGTATAACCTTTTTTCTTCTGCAGGAAATCCTCCTTCAAAGGTCTACGGCAACATTCGAGCTGTGGCTAGCAGAGCAGCAGATCGGTTCTGATTGTGAAGGAGAGCCCTTTTATCTTGTGTTTGGACTCCAGAGAAAAAGACCATACCCGCAACAAGTGGGCACAGGAAACAACATGAAGAATTTTTCAGTCACTTGTAGCCTTAATTTGTTCCTTCTTCCCTTCTCAGCCAGACATGAACAGAAAGGAAGAGGTTGAATATTCACAGTCAGCCGGATCATTTAAATACCGGCATTCAGTACCATTATTATATCAACATATTTTAAGTAGCAGATTTGCATACTTTATAATTCTCATTTTGCGAGAAACTTACGGTTTAAACAGTTCTTCATGAGTTTGTAAGCTTTTATTTATAAATTTACTTAAAAATTTAATACACATTTCTTCTAGGAGTTGTATTAAAGAATTATCTCAGAAAATTTCTGACTCTACCATAAATTCTGGGTAGTCTGCAAACACTTTTAAGCCATTGTCATGTGTAGGCTTTGGGTATACTCAAAGGATTAATATCTGTGTCCCCAAAAACATTCAGTCAAAAGAATATAAACATACTATTCATTTCAGCAGTGAGCACAGTAGCTAGAATATAGAATTCTAACCAGGTATACAATGATAGATGGGTGGATAATGAAGGTATGATGCATATACACAGTGGAGTACTGGGCAGCTGCAAGGAAGGATCGACTCGTGCAGTTTACGGCAACTTGGATGGAACTCGAGGATGCCATGTTAAATGAAGAATAATAACTACCTGATGGTTTCACTTATTTGCAGTGGGGATACCTCAGTTACCCTTTATCTAGACTATTGAAATGAGGTCAGAGAAGGAAAGAAATATAGAGAGGGTAAGTAAGAAGAGGCAGACTGGAGTAGCAAGGGCAGGGCCCCCTAGCACTTTGGTGGTGTAGAGGTGAGGGATAGATGTTTAAACAAAGCAGGAAACCCAAACCACAATAACTGAATTTAAAAATGTGCCTGTTGAGGGGAGTGGGAGGGAATAGGAGGACATTGGTAATGAGATTGGTGTTAGGACATTGCATACCATGAAACTATTATGAGCACTTCATAAATCATGGTGCCTTAAATTTTAAGTTTGTTTTTGTTTTGCAGTTTGTCCTTTAAAGTTACAGAACTACAACACAAAATTGTAAGGATAGAGTTTTTCAAATTCCGTATTTAATAAAGGTAATCAGAACTTGTCTGTTACTTTTCATTAAGTTGTAATGATAAAATACCGTAAGAGATGGTAAGATTACTTTGATCCATAGAAAAAAATTAGCTAATGTCTACATATTACCTGTTTTTTTTTTGGTGAGGGAGAGGGGGATATTCAGGATCAAACCCAGGACTTGACAAATGCAAGCCATGCACTTTACTGATAAGCTTGGTCCCTGCACTTTGTTTTGTTTTGGTTTGGGGCCACACCTCAGGGGGTTAAACTGACTGTGTGCAGGGCAAACACCCCAACTCTTTCCCTGTACTTTTTCCTTGCATTTTTTAGATGAATTCACAATTACCTAGTGACTGATACTAATCTGTTAAAGCATCTCTGAAACCCTTGACTAAATCTTTTTTTTAATTTAAAATATTTATTATCCAAAATTAAAACAACAAACAAAAAGTTGTGGGCAGTGCACTCATTCCTGACTCGTTTAACCAAATTATTACACACTTTTGGCTTAGGGGGACACACTGCACACTAGGCAGTACTCATTGCTTACTCCAGTCAGAGACCATATGTAGTCCTGGAGATTAAATTCATGTCAGCTGAATGTAAAGAAAGAACCTTAACCCCTCTACTATCTCTATGAATCCTAAACCATTACACACCTTTCAGTCACATATGAAGTTGTACTGTCATATCGTCCCTGATTTTTAAAAAAAATTTTTTATTAGTGAAACACCTTGTGGTACAGTTGTTGACCTTACAAGTTTTTGTACTTGGATTTCAGTCATATAATGATCGAGTACCCATGCCTCCACCAGTGCCCTTTCTCCATCACCAATGATCCCAGTAACCCTCCCACCCCTCCCATACCCCCATCACATCCTGCCTCTGTGGCAGGGCATTCCCTTTTGTTCTCTCTCTTATTTTGATTGCTAAGGTTTGCAAAAGAGGCATGAATGGCAAACATACACGGTCTGTTGTCTACTTCCAGCATGCATCTCCCATTCTGGGAGAATCCTCCCAACACCCTTTACTTTGTGTTCCCTTCTCTGTCTGAACTGCCCTTTCCTGAAGCATGTGCGGCTGGCCTTCAAGCCATGGAGTAAACCTCCTGTAACTTATCTCGAGTATGGCCGACCCGAGTTCGATTCCTCCGGCCCTCTCGGAGAGCCCGGCAAGCTACCGAGAGTTTTCGATATGCCAGACACAGTAACAACAAAGTCTCCAATGGAGACGTTACTGGGCCCGCTCGAGCAAATCGACGATCAACGGGAGGGCCTTTACCTTTACCTTATCCTAGGATGTTTTGACTAAATCTTTTAACTTCTTTTACCATTGGTTACATGTACTATTTGTATATTTATGGGATTGTCTATACTGACATTGTTACTGTAGGAATCCAATGGGAAATTTCTAGATATTCACACTGACCAAAATTATTTTTCACTTTGGGCAGTACATAAGTATGGCGACACTCTTTGGAAAAAGAAATTTGCTGGGACTTCGTTCTGAAGATTGTTTTCTTGAAGGCACTTGCCTGCCCTTGTGCTTTGCCCAGGAAGTTGTATTCAAATGACTACTTACATGTACTTTCTGAGAGAATCTGTTCAGTTTAAGTGATTTTCGAAACACTCCTGCTGATATAAACTTGCTAGGTAACAATGTGAAAGCATAAACCTCCTATTGGGAAAATATGGGTATTACACTAATGTTGGAACACTGAACCAACTACCTTCAGATTTTCTTTTGGGAGCAGTGCTCAGGAGACCCTGTGGCACTGGGACCTAAGCCCTAGCATGCAAAGCACGCACTCGAGCCCTCTGAGCGATCTCCAGCCATGCAGGGGCTTTCTTACATAGAATTCTCAAATATTTTTCTGTGGCACTTGCTGATATTTGGAGGCTAAACTTTTTGAGTTTTACATTCCTACCTGATCAAGCATTTCAGTCCTATCCTGAGGAAGGAGTAAGAAACGTTAGAATGATAGTGAAATTCAACTAATTCTTGGTTGAAGTAGATGAATAAATTACATGGTATTTGGTCCTAGAAGTGTGGATCAGATCATCTCCAAAACTTTCTGTAAGGCCTCAGTGCCAGGTCTGATACATCAAATTTTAGGTGCAATCCACATTTCTGTTGCAGAATTTATAGTGTCTGTACCCTAGTTTCTAGTTTGCTTCTGAATCTGGCAACTCCAGGAACTCAAATGAGTAGAAGCAGAATTCTTGGGGAGTGATTCAGCATGTTTTAAAAGCTCATCCATGTTATAGCATGTGTCAGAATTTCCTTTTATGGCAAATTCATTGTATGTATATGGTCACGAATTTTCAATCTTTGTCATAGAAATTTGGAATGTTTCTACCTTTCGCTATGGTGAACAGTAATTGCCCACAAGCAGAAATTGATGAATCACATGGCAATTCTGTTTTTGACCATACCTTTCGACATTCCTACCAAAAGTGCACCCAGTTTCAACTTCACTGTATACTCACCAGTTTTTGCATAACAGTAAAAATGCTAATAGCACCTTTTTAAAACATGGTTTTTGATTTGCATTCCTACTTGAGCATATATGTGCTATTGACTATTCTATATCTGTAGAAAAATGTTCCTTGGCCCATTTTCAATTTTTTAAAAATTTTTTTTGTTTTTTATATTCTGGATTTTGGTCTACATAACATAGTGCTCAGGGCTTACTTCTGACTGTTCAGGGATTACTCCCAGTGGGACACAAGGAAACACATGTGATGCCAGAGTGAACCAGAGACAGTTCACATTGCAAGGCAAGAGCCCTACCCATTATACTATCTTTTCGGCCCATCAAATGGTTTTTTAAAAAAATTGCACTGTAGAAGTTCTTATATAACTTGGACAGTAATCACTTATAAATGATCTAATAAATTAGATCATTAATCACCAGATAAGGTAAAGGTAAAGGTAAAGGCCCTCCCGTTGATCGTCGATTTGCTCGAGCGGGCCCAGTAACGTCTCCATTGGAGACTTTGTTGTTACTGTGTCTGGCATATCGAATACTCTCGGTAGCTTGCCGGGCTCTCCGAGAGGGGCGGAGGAATCGAACTCTGGTCGGCCATGTTGGCCGCTTGTAAGGCGAACGCCCTACCCGCTGTGCTATCGCAGATAAACGAGTTTATATTTTGGAGACTGTCATTTTACTGTCATTTCAACTCAAAACAGTTAAGGAGGGTTAAGACAAATTCATCTTTTGGTCTAGGTTCAAAGAACTGTTCTAGCAAATTTGTAAGGGGCCACAGAAAGGATTGTAAAATATGTTATAATTAGTGCATATCTGACAATACTGGTGTTCTGAGTATAAAACATCCCCAAATAGCCTGTTACTATTCGGGGGTAGGTATACCACTTACCTCAAATGCATGTTACTGTAATGAGCATAAACGCATCAATATCACAGCATAAGTAAAGCTCAAGTTAATGTACTGTAGCACTATAACAAATCGTTGTTCATCAATTTGCTTGAGCGGGCCCAGTAACGTCTCCATTGTGAGACTTGTTACTGTGTTTTGGCATATCGCATATGTCACGGGTAGCTTGCCAGGCTTTGCGGAAAGATCTAAGTATGCTCAACAGAAAGTCTCGCAAAATTCAGATCACCTGACAGCATTTTGTAAAAATTCAACGAGTTCTTAGAATTAGATCTATGCCGTCTTCTCACTCACTAGCTTAAGGGACTCTAGGTCAATCTCTTTGACCAAGTTAATATTAGTCAAAAAAATACTAAATGTCTTATAAAAAATGACAAAGTACTGAGTAGAATAAATAAGGTGTCAAGGGCAGAAGTCAATGCCCTTGTGGAGTTTTTATTTCAGTAACAGACAAATAGTACAAAAATAAATTTTATCTGAAGAGCTTAAATTCAATAGTGGGAAGAGTACGTGTGAGGTATACTAGTACTTGTAAAAGGGAGAGAAAAGGAGCTCCAGTTGAACAGAATGTAAGTGAACAGACTTGGTTGTATAGGATGTCTAGTGGGGAAAGTAGAAAGCCCTGTAGCAGAAACAAGCGTGTGTGGTAAAGGGATCCTGTAATGACTGGCCTACATAGTAGGCAACAGTTGATTACCTATTCATAAAGCAGATTCACTTATGGCTTATAGTTCTAGATCAATATCAACATTTAAAGAAATCTAATAAAGAGCCTATCAGCTGGTAGGATATTTGCCTTGACTGCCACGTGAATTTAATCCCCAGAATTCCATATGGTCCCCGATCACTGCCAGGAGTAATTCCTGAGTGCAGAGTCAGGAGTTAGCCCTGAGTACCACCAAGTCTGACCCCAAATCAACAACAAAATTAAAAAATGAAACTATTCAAAGACCACTGTGAAAACACTCAAACAAGTTTCAAATATTTTATTTTCTTATTCATACAGTATGAAGTTTTCTAAAGATCCCACAACATGACGTTTCATGCAGAAGAAAAACTAAACATTCAACATAAACCACCCCGCCCCCCACCCACCCACACACTTTAAAAAAAAAAAAAAGATAAGACCCTCATTCCCCAGTAAGGAAATAATGTTTGCACTATTTTTTTTTCTTTTTGTAACGCCAGCCAAGATATGCACAAGCAAGAGAAATAGAAAGCATTTGCTAAAATATTTTGTAACAAATACTTATGTACAAAAAATTCACAAAAGACTAGTTCCCCCTTGAAGCAGAGCACATGGCAGTTGACACTGGAACAGATCAAATCGCTGGCTGGGATAAGAAGCCACGTACTGATCCAGAGGAAGAAAGTTACATGTAGTGGAGATTTTCAGTTTGAACATTAACATTTCCAAAGTTTGGCAACATTATCTTTTAAAATTATGCAAATTATGTAAACAAGAGGTACATTTTAAATCGATCTACATGCAAAACTCCATGTCATGCAAGGACACCAAGCACCGGGATTTTTCTCTCACAGACAGAGCCCATGATGTGCAGCACTCAGTTGAAGGAACAGCAAAGGCAGGCAGGCGCCCGATTCAAGATTCATTCACCATGGTTCAACCTGCCCCTTTCCACTCATGATTATAAAACCAGTTTTTATACAAAAACTATATAGGGAAAGACCACTGTCCTAAAAAGCTAACCAAAATGTTTCTTCCAGCCAACAGTACCTTTGCAGAAAAAGGAAGGGAAAATCTCAAGTGATGGAACATGATACACTACTTTTATATCACACAAATTTATTGTTATCATCCATTATAAATATGGGCAAATCAAGAAAACCATCATGCACTCTATGCCTTGTGGTAAAGGAATTTAAGAGGTAAAAACTTGCTCTTCTGTGGCATATAAATTAGTAAGATTTCTCTGATTTAAATCACAAATATGTGTGGATGTTTAGATACATACATGCACATTAACTACCACCGGTTTTTTTAGGTTAGCTGCAAATCTTCTGAAACACAGAAGGGAAATTCATGGTTCAAACATTTAAAAAAAAGTTTAATGACATTATTTACCCACGTAATCGAACAAATGGATAATTTAAGCAATTACATGATTACTTCATGTACTCATTAATGTCTAAGATAAATCATGATTGCCTCAGCTTCTGATCTTCATAAAATCACAACTGATAGCTTGCATTTACTCAGGGACATTTAATGAATGTCGTATCTCCTAGTTATGAAGTAACAGAAGGAAGCAGCCATAAATTTTGCCGTTGCTATATGAACACAAGAACAAGCTCTTGGCAGTAGCACTGAACTATACTTTCTCCTCAAGCAGAGAGTACTAAAAGCTGCTCAGCAATGAGACTTAGTCCCTGGAAATATATTCATAGGTATAAATAAAATTACAAACTTGTTACAAAAATGTAATTAAGGTAAATAAGAAGACATTAACAAATGCTTTGTCAATCTCTCAAAGGAGAAAGCACAGGAGAAGGAATATAGCTGGCCTAACACCCGGCTCAAATTGTACAATCTTCTAGCTATATATAAAAACTGTGTGAAATAAAAGTAAGGATGTTTTATGTTCTGCTTGGCACTTTTGTACTCTATCATTTTGTTTCTGAATCAAGTATATTAAATTAAAGCCAACCTACTACACATATAGAAAGCTACATATATCTATATATAAATATTTACATATGTATATATAGATACTTTCTTGTTATAAAAGATGAAGAAAAATAAATTAAAAAGCCAACCCCTTCCCTTTCTTCCCACACTGATATGCTCTTTTCATGCTGCTGTCCTTCAGACTTTAAAGTGCTACACTGAGTTATTGAGAGAATAAGAGTTCAATAACACTTAGTTGGCTTCATGAGGCTCATGTTGGAAAATGTGGCTTCACAGAGAAAAATACTTCCATTTAAATACACAGAGAGCATTGCTGGACGTCTTGAGCAGATCTTCAGAGATGGAGAAGAAAGCAAAAGTGTTGGGTGATGCTCTTGAAAAAGAGTCACACATCTACCACCATCTTTTTGTGGATATCTAGGCCACCTACAACCTGCAACAGACAAAAACAAGTAAAGCTTAACCATGGTTTTATTAGTGTAACGATCTTATCAAAATTAGAATTTTAAAAACAAACTTTAAAAATTTTAAATATTCCTTTCCCTTTGATTAAATTTTTTATGGTGTTTTTCTACCAGAATTATAGACATTTTCTTGTGTTTGAGTATAAGTATTAGCAATTTTATACTGTAAAGAAATACTAAATGTCGTATGCTTTGCAGTCTAGTTTCTCTTGCATTTTTTCCCCTTAAACTTCTTTTTAAACACTTTTATAAAGCACTGTAGCACTGTTGTCCCGTTGTTCATAAATTTGCTCAAGCAGGCACCAGTAACATCTCCATTGTGAGACTTATGGTTACTGTCTTTGGCATTTTGAATATGCCATGGGTAGCTTGCCAGGCTCTCTCATGCGGGCAGGATACTCTCAGTAGCTTGCGGGTTCTCCAAGATGGACAAAGGAATTGAACTCAGGTTGGCTGAGTGCAAGGCAAACGCCCTACCTGCTGTGCTTTTGCTCTACCCGGGCACGTGCCCGTGTGCCTCGCATTAACTTTTATAAAATGTAAAGAAATATTCTTTAGGTCAAAGAAATATAAAACAGGCCACTGAAGGCTGAGAGATATTACAGTAGGTAGAGGTGCTTGTCTTGCATGTGGCCAACCTGGGTTCAATGCGTCAGGCACCACATATGGTCCTCTGTGCCCCACCAGGAATGATCCTTGAGCACAGCGAGGTCTGACTCAAAAACAAAAAACTAAATATACCATAAGCAGTATTTGGTCCACAGCAGATTCTTTTCTAACTTCTATAAACAGGTGATACCATAAAAATTGTTTTGGAAAACAATGTGGGCCAGAGATTATGTAAGTTTTGCACGTGGTAAAACTGGGTTTGTTCTCTGGTACCACATAGTCCCCTAAACACTTCTTGGAGTGAACCCTGAGAACAGGGTACAGAAGTAGCGCCTGAGCACCTCCAGGTATGGTCCCCCAAAACAAAATAAAAATATGAACTTGGGCCAGTCTATTCTAGAGGGTAATAAAACATCAAGTGAATTTAAATTTTCTGCACATTTCCCAACCCCTCTCCCAACAACGAAGTCAAAATTCACATAAAGTTGGTTGTTATAATCTAAAATGTAAATGACTATATTTAGGGGACAAATTTTATCAAATACAACCTAAATAAAAAGAGAACAGAAAAAAAGAGAAATAAGAATTAATGTTCAGAACTTGCTTGAATTTTGAGAGTGAACATCCATCCAGCAACCAATACTTAGACCATTACCAGAATGCTCCAGTCCACACCAGCTCTAGCCAGCCCCTCCCTGCCAGCCCTAATACACACAGGTAGCCATGTTATGGCTTTAAAACAGCAAGGAATAGTTCCTATAAATTTCATATATGAAATTTTCTTCATGCCTACCTTATTTCACTCAACATTTGAATTTCTGTAAGATACACAATTTTATCTACATTATTAAAATATAAAGTTACAACTGCCAACAGCTCTGTAACTTCTGCTGTATAAACAGCAGTTTGCACCCTATCTTCATTCTTTCTGCTTTCTTGACCTAAGACAATCACTTGAATTTTTTTGCCTCACCTGATTTTCAGTATTTACATCAAGGTCTTTAAACAACATTCCCATATGACTTTTTCTTAAAGTTGTAGACGCTGCCTACTAGCAACTATAACAGAGGATAGTTAGCTTTGCAGGTATCCCCTCTATATTATAACAACTCTAATTCAGGAATTTTCCTATCTCCCATTCTAATAGTTTAATCTTTAATTAGAAATTAATTCATTTTAATTATATCAATTACTACTTACAGCAGGAGAAGATTCACATATTTTCTTTTCAATACAGTTGTTACAATCAGTAACTGATCTTTCTCTTTTGAGGGTACTTCTCTGTATCAGTAATTCAACCTAAATTTCCAGTGTCAATACATTCAAATCTGCTGCATAGTTCTGCATATTTTACTCTTCGAAATCACTGCCAGAGCTTTCCAACCTGCTGCAGTCTAGGCCTATCCCCTCTGGATCTCCCTTTACCAGCATTCTGGAGATCCTTTTCTCTCTTGATGGATTTTCTGGGTCCCACCTAGCTTTTGTGGTTTATATAATCTTATTACAGTGGGAACACATCCTTCAGTAGTTTCCAAAAAAAGGAAGGCCTTGCATAACAGAAAATGTCTTTATTATGTCTATAGTTTTCAGAGAATTCTAATTTGGAAATAACTTCCCATGGAGATTGTGAAGATAACTGCTTCACTGTCTTCTGCTGTCCAACTCTGCTCCAGAGAATTATGTTGTTATCATTCCTGAGTTTTTGTATGAAGTTCCTCACACACACCCAGCCCCCACACTTCTCTCTATCCTAGCTCTTTGGAAATTTATAGAACCCTCTCTTTGTTCCCTGTATTAAAATTTCATGAAACATGCTTAAATTCAGATTATTTTTGTAACATATACTAGATATTCTGTCCTTTCAGGAAAGCCATTACTTTATATTCTGAGGTATATTTTATTCATTTTGCCAGGGATTTCCTTCTCTCCATTTTCTTTTTAGAAGCACGAGTAATCAGCTGTTGGTTCCTAAAATAGGCCTCTAATATAAATGCTCCAAAGATCTTTTATTGAACTGGAGTGATAGCACAGCAGGAAGGGCATTTGCCTTGTACATGGCCAACCACCCAGGTTCGATTCCTCTGTCCCCCTTGGAGAGCCTGGCAAGCTACTGAGAGTATCCTGCCCACACGGTAGAGCCTGGCAAGCTCCCTGTGGCATATTTGATATGCCAAAAACAATAAGAACAACATCTCACAAAGGAGACGTTACTGGTGCCAGCTCAAGCAAATCGATGAACAATGGGAGGACAGTGCTACTTTTTTTTTTTTTTAAACTAAAAGGATTTAATATAGGTGCCTGAGAGATAAAATAGCAGGTAGGCGCTTGTCTTGCATGGTCCCTTGAGTACCATCACGAGTGATCCCTGAGTACTGCAGAGCCAGGAGTAAGCCCTGAGCATAGCTGATGCGGCCCCAAACCCCAAATAAACAGATGATTTAATATATTATACTCCACAGGATAATGGTGACTTTTTCTGGAGGAGTAGAACTTTCGAATGGTGCACAGGAAACTAGGTGACCAGTTCCAGCTATACTTTGCCAGCAGTAAAGTCCTAATGACATTGTTGCTCGGGCCATGGCATTTTGGAGGTCATGCCATGCATATGCTCCAGTCCTCTGAGTCTGTAGCTGGACTCAATAATGAGTGATTGGTGTTTTATTTTTAAGTATTTTACTGGCCTTCTATTCACAAAGTAATTCATAAACAGACTTTAACCATTCTCTAGTTAAGCCTCTTTCAAGAATATTTTCAAGTTATTTTGTACCACCTCTTCTGAGCCTCTCAGGGATTCTAACATAAACCTGGTTACTTCTTAGTTTTTTTTTTTTCCAGAATAACGGATTAGACTTCATTTTATTTTTCCTCTCTAATAAAATTCAGTTAATTAATTAACTCTGTAAATCATCAAATTTAATTGCTATACTCTCTGCTGGTCACTTTGGCCTTTATGGGTTGATGGCCTTTTCTTTTAAAATACACTTAATTCTTGTGCTGTATCAACAGTACAATGGGTAGGGCACTTGCTTGCATGCAGCCAAGCCAAGTTTGATCTCTGCACCCCATATGGTTCCCTGGGCACCAGTAGGAGTGATCTCTGAGCACAAGACAGGAATAAGCTCTGAACACTGCACGTAAGACCACAAAAAATGAACAACAACAAAAACAATAAATAAAGAAAGAAATAAAATACAGCTAATTCTACTACAGTTTTGGGAAGAAGCAAAGATACACGCACTCAATTTTTGAGCCACTTTTGTTTTCGTTTCAATCAACTGTATGATCTGTCTGCTAAGAAATCTCACGTTTTCATATAGTATGTTATGTTTTAAAGGGGTTTTTTTTGCCATTTCTTTCACAGATATAGATCAAGAAATTTTAATAAAAATAACACACCAAAAAAAACTGATAAAAAAGAGGTAGACTGAAAGCATAGAATAAACATTTTCCCCCTCCATTCCATGTCCCTCCAAAAATTTGAGTAAGATAAGCCAGGGTGATCTCCAGTACCAAATGTCTCACCGCCCCTTGAGAATGGACCTAGTGGTCTCCAGCACATCACTGGATCCAAGCCCAATTTGTCAAGTCCACAATGTCAGGTGAAGTATCACCAGGAGTGGGCTTCAAACATGGCTGGCAGACTCCAGCCTGCACCCTAGCAAAGGTAATTTATCACAAATGCAGGATATCTAGCTCAATGTTCACCATATGCCTAAGTATAAAACAGCATCATCTCTATTCCTAAACACGTATTTTCATTCCCTTCCACTTGCCTGTCTCACCCAAAGCTTGGAATTTCCATTTTACTTTCTTTCTTTTAAAAACTGCTATGTGTGATGCTTCATCAGGCTGGTCTCACGTCACACTCAGACTGATGCCAGTAGTGCTTCAGCTATCTTTGGCAATGGTGAGGAGAAATGAGAGGAACAACGAACACACTTATAACTACAAGTGGCACCAATACTCAAGTCTCTCTCTTCAAGAGATCTTGCCCAAGCCCTCCAGTACTCCCCAAAATAAATTATGTACAGAAGATTTTTTTCCCCCCCAAGGAAATGGAAGAAACTAGAGTGGATGTGTCTCTCAGTGGTAGAGTATGTGCCTTGCATGTGGGAGGCTCTGAGTTCTATTTCCAGAACCACAAAACAAACAAAATCAAAACCAAATTTAATGCTTCAGCAGACAATTATCTGTCAATTATAGCAGCCAATAGAGCACTTTGATTTGGGGCTTTTTTTGGTTGGGTTTTTTTTTTTGGGGGGGGGTTCTTGGGTCATACCTGGTGGTGCTTACGAGATAAATCCTGGCTCTTCAATCAAGAATCACTTCTGGTGGTACTGAAGGAATCATATGGGATGCCAGGGATTGAACCTGGGTCAGCTGCGTGCAAGGCAGCCGACCTACCCACTGTACTATTGCTCTAGCCCCCAAAAAGAGCACTTCAAAAATCCTACATAATCTGATTCTCAACTAGGATAAGAAGGAAAACTTTCTGTCTTTCAACCATATAAAAGGAAATTATTCCCAACAAACAGTTCAAAGGAAGCTATTCCCAACATAGAGTTCAGTCATCTCTTTGTAACAACATTCTTTTGACAATAAAAAAAAAGTCACTTTTAAGTGAGATTTAAGAATATAACCTAATCATGGATGACTTCTTTGTAGAAGATATGCTTTGCATATGTGAGAACCTGGGTCCATCCCCAGCAACTGACTACTCCCTAAAACAAATAAGAATATTAAAAGCTAAAAAAAAACAAACCTATAACCTAGTTACAAAATTTGAGCAAGTGCTAAAAATAAATATTACTAGTATGATTCTTGAAGCTTCTATCAAATAATGAGTATTAATTCTTGAGAATAGTAATTGACAGAAAACTTTTTAAAACCTGAATATGGGGCAATTAGGCAAAATCAAATTTTAAAGGCAAGACAGTGTAAGACCATCTCTATTAAGTGTTTTTTAAAACAAATATGCTTTAAAATTAATGAGGAACCAGTGCTTTTGTACTTACAGCACAGAATTCTTCAAAGGATATTCTTCCATCTCCATCCTTATCTGCATTTATTATGGTTTTGTCTACGATTTGCTGTAATTGTGTATCTTTCAGATTGTTCCCCACCATCATCTTCAGCACCTGGAAGAGTTCCCCATTGGAAATATAGCCATCTTTATCCATGTCATAGATTCGGAAAGCAACTGAAAGGAGAGTAAGGAGTATCAATGGCAATTATTAGAACAACTAGAATACTTTCAGCTGAGATGTAAAATGTGTATAATCAAACATCTGGAAGTATAACAAAGTATAACTCTAAGGAACATTCCTTCCTAAACATAGATACCTTTAGATGTAGTTTAATGTAGTTGATTAAGGAAAGGATATAGAGTATGAAGTCTAAGTTGTTTGAACTAATTAATGTAGCATAAGGTAACAGTATTTAACATTGCTAAGCTTCAGCTTCTGCATGTATAAAAGGGGTAACAGTTGCAAAATCCCAGGAATTTTTTGAGTACTGAATGATAATACATATGAGCTGCTTAGAAAAGTGTATGATACATGCAAAAGCTACTAAGAGCTAGCAATTGCTATTACTATACTTTATTCTCTCAGTTCATCTTTCACAAAGAACTATTATTGTGCCTCAGAGAAGTCTTATTGAATAAAATGGCTCTCCAGCAAAGAGTTGAATAATTTAAAAAGATATCAGATGCTTGCTATAATAGAGATGACCTGTATAAACACAGTGGACTTCTGGTTTGAAAATTCTGAATACAATGTGTGTAAACATGTTTATCTAAGCACATTAGAATATTTCTTGCCATTTATTCATTCAAAAAACAAAACAAAAAAATAAAAGAAAAAAACCCAAAACCTCTAACCTGAAAAATGTACTGACTATCCTCAGTAGAAGGAATTTCTATTTTCCCTTCTATCTTCTATCCAACTAAAACCAATGACACATTATTTCTGGGGGTGGGGGGGGGGGGAAACAGTGCAAACATCCTAAAAGAATGCTCATCAGATTGTAACACTTCTGTATGTCTAAGGACTGAAATAAAATGATAACTTTTAAAATATTTTAAAAGAAGGCTATAACATAGTATGGGGTGGTAATCACTGGTGTAAGAAGAAGAGGCAGTGAAGAAAAATACTTACACCTCAACTTCTGTTCTTTGTCCCCTTTGACACTGAACTGAGAAACTCCTTCAATGAATTCTATTAAGAACAAAAAATAATTACTTATCATAAGTATCCATTATTTCTACAGAAAAACAATGTTTACTTTATATACACATAAAAGACATTTTCCCACTGCGAAATAAAATTTACTGTTTAAATAAATAAAATTTGGTGTTTAAAACTGAAATGACACATTAGAAACTTCCACAAAGGCTTGTAGTCTTCTGCGCATGCGTTCTCACTCTTCCTCTCCCTCTCTCTCTCTCTATACACACACACACTCTCTCTCTCTCTCTCTCTCTCTCATACTTTGAGTTCTCAAAAATCAAATAAAATTGTATAAATATTTAAGTACTAAGAACCATAACACTCAAAAACATTTATTGTACTCTGCCTGAAATGGCTATAATAGGAGTAAAATGATTATGTACGTTGTTTTGCCAGAACAAAAGCCTCCAGATTTCTGGGTCCACAATTCAGAATCTAAATAAAGTCTAAGAAATTGCATGAGGAATGGTCACAATCATTTTTAAATCACTTAAAATTCAGTTCCTAAACTAAGTAAATCTGTTGATGATTCCCCAGCAAAATATTTAGAGAACTAAGTATAAAGTCATGTATCAAGTTAATATTAGCAAAAGCGCTTGTTGTCTTTATTAAAAATAAATCAATTCTTTCTGTGAAATGAGTCCACCTTTATTCCTAGCTTATAAGATCATTTAATATGTTGTACTGATTTTTTTAAAGCTTAAATAACGCAACTTCTAATACTGCGGTTTCTTTTTCTTTTGGGGGTGGGAGTAGTTAGCGGCCACACTTGGCAGTGCTCAGCGGTCACTTCTTATGGTGCTGAGGGACCACGCATGGAGATCACACCAGAGACCACACACATGGGACTCTTGTGCAGAGTCTGCTGCGCTACCTCTCTGACCCCTTGTTTCTCTACATACAAAATACTTACAAAATGCTAAATATTACTTTTTAAGATTACTTTTTAGAAAAGCTGGATCACTAATAACCAAGGTAGTTAAGGTTAAAATACCAGATTCTCAAGTTAACAACATATTTTGGATCATCAATAGCATGCATTTTAAGAAAATGAATTTTTCAGATATTTTGTACACAGCTGTATCACTACTCAAAAATTAACTCATGACATTTTTAAAACTACTATCTAAAGACTTTTTAAAAACTATTTTCTTACCTTTAAAGTCTACCTCTCCATTCCCATCTGTGTCGAATATATCTATTACTCGCTGTACTAAAGGATTCTGTTGTAACTCGGGCAAAGACATGAACTCTTCCACACTCAAAGAACCAGAGTTGTCCAAATCAAGCTTCTTAAATCTTTTTCCTAGCCTTTTAATTTCATCAGCATCAACTGGAAGCAAATAAAAAGGAGCAAGACTTATAAAATGATTAATACAGAAAGAAAACTAAACATTAACTCAATATCTCAATTTCTAATTTATTTTTGAAATTATATGTACTGTTGAGTAATTTCTGACAACAGAAAATATGTCAAATGTTTTTCTTTACCCTTTTGCTTGTCTGCACCTACCACAACAACTGCGAAACGCATGTTGTGAAACAGCACATTACAGAACTAATGACGCTAAGCTGATTGTGGAAGTCAGTTGATTCCTACTAGACAAGCTACCTTTGCTCTGCATCAAGGTAACTATTTTTTAACACTTATCCTTTTAATCCTTTTAAATTTTTATTTATATGTAACAGTTCATGGCTCAAAATCAGACTACAGTTTAAGCTTATTTCAAATTCCAAAGAGAATTCAAAAATAAGTCTGCCTTCCATCCAGCCTTACAGAAATCAAATTCCTCTTCTGAGAGGCAATGTTGCCAGTTCTTAAATTATTCTTCCAGAGACAGTATTTGCAAATAAAGATTGCCTTTGCAAATAAAAGCAAGTAAAACGTGGCTTTTACTCTTTTTCTCTTTTATCAAAATAGATTAGTTAACAAGTCACCTCAATGTTTCTTAAAAACTAACAACTTTTTAAAATGTTTGTATTAATCTGTAAATTCTCTATAGAAGTTCATTATCAGATCTCAAATGCATTCTTGAAATTTCTTCCAAATTCCATTCTCCTTCATCTTTAGTAGCAAAATAATTCATAATATTTAAAATGTAAAAGAATGTAAGTAACAACTTTTTAAAAAGATTAACTAGACAAATGTTTCATTGCCCTTGAGTATTGAGTCATGGCCCATAATATTTTTAAAATGAATGTAAACTGCTTTGAAACTTCTACTATATGATAACTGCAGTCTAAGAACTTAAAAGTTAACATATAGTTAACGTATAAAAATGTTAAACAAAAGAAGAACTATAATTATTTGCACAATAGAACATTACATTACTATTTTTATATGAGTAAATTTGTATGTACTTAATGAAGGGAGTGATAGCAATAAAGCACAGAAACACTGGTTGTTCAGAGATGCTTCCTGGTAGGTATGCTATGACAGGATCAAGCCCAACATTTCTCAAATTAAAGAGAAACTTAATAAAAAATAAAAATCATAAGAAAAACAGTGAAAACAAATTCTCAATAGAGGAAATAACAGCAAGTTTAGTAACTTTAAGAACTTCAATTCTTTTCAACACCTTGGTCTGAGTACTAATTAAGGGCACAAATGAATAAGCTACAAAAACAATTTCTCATCTACCATTTACTCTCCCCAACCCCTGTTAACAGTCAAAAGCTCATTAAGTTGGACAAAATTACCTTCTTTTGAAGTGGATGCTGTCAACAACCTGGATCTCAAAATAAGGAAGCACACGTTCAATCTAATAAGTTCTTTGGTGCTTAACACAAAAATGCCCAAGTTAATGAGTGCTAGTATTTTTATGACCATTTTTGCCTTCATTCATACTCTGTATAAAGCTATAGAGAGAGATCTAGTCTATCCATACTGTTCCCAGATGTGTGATTTTGTAGCCAGTAAGCCAAAAGCAAAATTTGTGTTATAGTAGAAAATGCCTTTATATTAATGAGCCTCATAAATATAACTTCAAGCAGCAATGCACACATAAACAATCCAATAAAAATTTCAAATATAGGGCCAAGGCAATAGCTTAAAGTGCTGGAGTGCAACCATGAAGCCCTGAATTTGATCCTTGGCGCCATAACCCCCTTCAGCCCACACCTAGTACTACCAGGCCTAATCTTATTGACTGCTGACTACTCGGTGTAGTACTATTCCCACTTGGGAAAAGCACCACAGCTCCTGAGTACAGGTGGGTAGAACCACCAACCACCATTCAAATATGCACTTAATAAACAAGTCAACTACCTAAGCATTTTATCCCCCTATTAAACAGTATTCCTTCTTTAATGAAATGATAGGAGCAACTGTTTCTTTGCATTATAAAATTAGGAATTTTTAGTTAAAGTGAAAAAAAAAAATGCTCTGTTTACAGCTGACAAGGGTTCAATTTCTGGCACCCCATATGATCCCTTGAGCATGGCCGGGAGCACAGAGCCAGGAGTAAATCCTGAGGCTTACCAGATGTGGTCCTTCAAAACAAAACAAAACAAAACAAGAACAAATAAAACTTCTTTTGTGGTATGTGTGTGTGTGTGTGTGTGTGTGTGTGTGTGTGTGTGTGTGTAAGTGTCTAAGTGTGTAAGTAAGCTAAACCCAGAGCTTCACATATGCAAAGCATGATATTGTACTCTCCACCTCAATAAATGTCCTAAGTAAATCTAAATGTTTAGGGTTTAAAACTTGATCAAGGGGCTGGCTGGAACAATAGCACAGCGGGTACTGCATTTGCCCTGCATGCGGCCAACCCAGCATCCCATATGGTCCCCTGAGCACTGCCAGGGGTGATTCCTGAGTACAAAGCCAGCAGCAACCTTTGTGCATCGCTGGGTGTGACCCAAAAAGCAAAAACAAACAAACAAAAAAAAAACTTGATCAAACTGCCATTAATGTTTACAGTAAAAAAACTACTTATCTAATCAAATACCAACTAGCAAATCTTTTTCAAAAGTTTTGCAATGTTTGTATTTTTTCTGAAGAGATGCCTCTTGGTGCTTGCCTTAAGTTTACATACTAGATGACAAAGATTAGTTAATAGCTATTTTATTCTAATAATCTTTGGTTTTACTTTACAACCATAGAAAAAGTGATGAGGAAAATCAAACATAATGGTAAGATTGTAGTAATAGAACCAGTGGGGGGAAAAGACTTTCCATAAAAAGCACATAGTCAAATGAGACCAAGCCTCAGAGCAGGGTTTCTCAACCCTATTCTGACTGTAGATCACTTGCAGCCTCGATCCCTTCCTTGACCCTCACTCTCAAGCTGTGCCCCTACACATTTATGTGACTTTCAACAGTGTCTCCTTAGAATATCTTGGATCCAGAGTGAAGAAACCCTGGCCTAGAGAATATAATTAATGGGAAAAAAGTGAAGGCAGAAATGTAGTGCAACATTTAAGCAAACTGTTATATTCTATTTATTGAAACTGGGTCATGAATAATAGTTTAAAACGTTGTACATTATGAAACTGAAGCTAAGCTTGAAGTATTGTTTCAATTACCTGGAAACCCCAATTAAACTAGAAATAAGCATTCCATGGACTTAATGAATGATTAAAAAGTATTACAGAATAATAATTAAAAGTATTTATATAACTCTGTATGTGCAAGACTACTGGATTAATCTATCGTCCTTTATACTGCCAGCACAGTAATTTTTCTAAAACGTATGTTCAAATTGCTAGTTCCTGTGCTTAAAAAGTTGCTAGTGGTTTTCTAAGGCACAGTATAAAAAAACTTCAAAGCCCTCAAAAATATTTAGCTTCAATTCAAATTTATATTTTATCTTTTTCCCTGTTACTTTTATTTGGCAACAATTCTCTTGACACAATAAATTTCATGCCTCTATTTCCTGATGAACCAGCAGCTGGTCTTTCCTTGCACTATTTTTGAGGTCCATGATCAATTTTCTTATGACTCAAAAGTGTGAGTGATTATCTATTTTTAGATATATTATGAAATATTTGATATCCGGTCTGAATGAAAACTTGAAAACCTTTTCTCAAAGCCTGGTGATAGTACAGCAGGTAGGATGTTTGACTTGCATGAGGCTGACCTGGGTTTGATCCCTGGCATCCCATACCCCCTCCCCCCCACCGACCACCCCTGCCCCGGCTCCACCCCCAGCACCGCCAGGAGTAATTCCTGAGTGCAGGGCCAGGAGTAACCACTGAGCATCACTGGGTGTGAAACAAACAAAGCCAAAAAATAAAGGAAGAAAAAGAAGAAAAATATTTTCTCAAAGGCCAGTGATCACATTTAACTGGAAAGTAAGCGGCTTTCAAAAAAGCCCCTGAAGCGTGACTTGGAGGAACTGTGCTGTAGTGACTCTTTCTATGATTTGTCACCAAGTCAAAAACATACTGCTAAAATTCACTGTAGTAGTTCCTTTAATAAGTTGAAAGGAGGAAATGTCTAGTCACCAACTCCTCATTTATATCCTTCCTTCTTTTCTTTCTTCCTCCTCCTTGGATTATAATAATGAATAAAACAAGGACTAGGTTATTCAGTACTTATTCCTGGGTAGGGCAATAGCATTAAATGTGCACTCAGTAGAAGTTAAATATTAAAGAACAAACTCCAACTTTTGTCAGTAACCCTTATGAAAGTTTTTTTCTACTTTTTGGAACTGCAGTACTTTAACTCAGGTGAACAAAGAAGGGAAAAAAACAGTCACCCTCTCGAGCCATCCTGTGACTCAGAGATACTCTTTCTTGCTTGTTAAATCTGAGTGCCCAATTAAATCTAAGTCTTCTATTTTGTGTAAGGGAACCTTTGAAGTGATTATCTTCTTTAACAGTGAAACTATTTCAAGCAGATAATGTCATACACACATACAGTTCATGTGAAAAGTATCTCTTTCAGAGTTTACAAAAATACAAAATCATCACTAATAAACTTACATAGAAATATTAAGTGAAACTGTTCTCCAAGTATGCTCACAGATAAACATGGAAATTAGGGCTGGGGAGAAGACTCAAAGGACTAAAGCACCTGCTTTGCATGCTGGGGGCTTGGGTTTGTCCCTGACATTGCTGGAAGTAGCCCCCCAAAGCAAAATCTAAATAATTTCTCAGAATGAAAAAAGAAAAAACAAAGCAGAAAGGTAGGAAAAATAACTTCCCCCAAAATTTAAACAATCTTTAATCATTTTATAGTTGTAAACAACAACAGAATTCTACTTCAAATGATTTTTTTAATAACCACTTAATATACTATCATTGACTTAACAAAAACAGATCTTTTCAAATTACTCAGCAATAAAAGTTTTAAAGAAACAACTATGTATGTAGTATGGCTGGAGCGACAGCA